ATTTGCATATTTTGCATTTTTGGTAATATTAAAATGCACATTTTTTATTTTTGCATTGCACGAAACCGTGGGCTCTACTCTGGCCCAAGCTTTTTTAATTTAATAGTGTGATCGACAAGCTGCGCCACAACTGGATAATCAATTTAAAACGATCGATATATTGTTAGATTTTTTTGTATCGAAAAATGAGGGTAAAAAATCCAAAACGTAATGGAAGTTCAGCATTAAAAAGGCTAAAAACTACTTTAAAGGACGTAGGATTAGTAGGACCAAAATCATGTTCAAATACTAGTAAAAAGCAAAAACAAAAAGGAAACCCAGTAGATACCAGGAAAATTGAATATCAATCCAAGTTGAATAGTTTAATGAAAAATCAAGTAAATCCTTTCGAGTTAAAAATTAATAGGGTTAAACATGATGTATTGGGAAAGAAAATTAAAGGTATTCAAGGTAGACCTGGGTTGAAAAGACAAATTGGAATTGAGAAGGTTTGTATTTTAATTGTAATTTTTTTTTTTGAAAGTCTTTTTTATATAAAAAACAATTTTTTTTTTTTTGAAATTATAAGAGAAAGAAAACATTACTTGTTGAAATGGAAAATAAAAATAAAGTTGGAGGTGTAGTTGATCGTCGGTTTGGTGAAAATGATTTAAATATTTCACCCGAAGAAAAAATGTTGGAAAGATTCACTAAAGAACGACAGGTATTCTAATTCGGTAAAATTTAATAATTCAATTAATATATTACATAGATGATATTAATATGATATTCAATAATAGAAACGATCGAAATCATCTTTATTTAATCTTGACGAAGAAGTAGATTTGACTCATTATGGCCAATCTTTGGCTGAAATGGATGTTTTTGATGATCCAGATTTGGTTCTAAGTGATGAGGACGATGAAGGTATTAATTAACTTAATCAAATATAATTTTGCAATTACGTCTATGTATATAAAATGATAACACCTGATTACTAATTAGGTGTTATTGACATGAAGACTGTAGCTAGAAGTCACTTTGGCGGATTCGAGGTCAATAATAACAATGTAAATTAACTACAACGTCCTGTAGTAAAATATTGAATTGATGCATACCTTATTAACATATTTTTTTTTATATTATAATTTAGGACATTGAACACAAAAAGTCAAAAAATGAAATTATGAAAGAACTTATTGCGAAGAGTAAAATGCATAAGGTTTTATTTATTTCATCTGTTGAGCTAATAATCTTTTATAGGCTAAAACTTATTTTTATCTAATTAGTATGAGCGACAATTTGAAAAAGATGAAGATGAAAAGGTTCGTCAAGAATTAGATATTGAATTAGATTCAATTCGTAATTTACTTATTATACCTCATAAACCTCATGATGAACCTTTAGAATCACAAGAGTCTGCTTTTCAGAAGGTATGTCGTAAATTTAAGCATTCTTTTTATAGTCTTTTTTTATACTCATAAAATATAAATACGTTTTTAGCATTCTGAGATTGAGAATAAGTCTGAACCTAAATCGCATGAGAAATACGAAGAGTACGATAGAATTGTTCGTGAATTGGCTTTTGAAAAACGTGGGAGACCTACGGATAGAACTAAAACCGAGGAAGAAATTGCTTTGGAAGAGAAAGAAAGTCTAGAAAAATTAGAGGTAAAAATAGTTCATAAAGTTTCATAATTATAATTTTTTTTAGAAACTATCTATAAAATAATTCGTATATATATAGCGCGCAAGAAAAAGACGTATGGAAGGTATAAGCTCGGAATCTGAAGAGGATGATAAACATAAAAGGCGAAGACGTGTCCCAGTAGCTGATGATTTAGAGGATGATTATTTAGTTGATGAGGATATAGATGATTTTGGATTAGGAAAAGGAATTACTATAAAAGATTTTTCTACTGTTGAAAGAATGCAAGATAATGAATCAGATGTGACTGATATCCAAAGTGAGGAGGAGGATGAAGATGACGACGAAGATGAAAAGGAGGAAGTTGAATATGCAGATCTTGATTTAAACAATGATAATCAAATCCAACTCTCTGAAGATATCGATGAAGAAGATATTAACGATTTTTCATCTGGTACAAATCGAGAGGAATCTCAAGTTAAAAAAACGAAAGTGAGCAAAAAGGAAAAGAATAAAAATGAATTGGCGTATACTTTTCCTTGTCCTTCAACGATGGAAGAATTTTTGAAAATTTTAGAGGATGCAGACGATGAAAATGTACCGATAGTAGTACAACGTATTCGAGTTCTTTATCATATTAAACTTTCTCCTGATAATCAAAAAAAATTGGAGGTAAAAATACGTTGCAGTACAATTATTACAATAACAATAATTTAATTTAACTTAATTTAATTTTTTTTTGACAGAAATTTTTTAATATCTTGATGGATTACATTTATACGAGAGTTCAAGAAACTCCATGTCCAATGCATTTAATAAATCGATTGTCGTTACAAATATTCGATTTAGTACAACAAGTTACAGAATATGCTATAAAGTATTTTATAGAAACAACCAATCATCTAAAAAATGAGTTAATAAAAAATTTTAAATTTCCGAAAATCACTGGACTTATTTATTTTAAACTATTAGGAAAAATATTTCCTACATCAGATTTTCATCATAATGTCATGACTCCAACTTTATTATTGATAGGGCAATATTTGACTCAATGTCATGTTATTAATGGGAAAGATTTAGTATCTGGATTGTTTTTGTGTAATTTACTATATGAGGTAAATTAACTTTTTTGTGGTCATTTAAGGTCATTGAAATAAGTTGACTGAAAATTCTTTGTTTTTATTTAGTATCAAACTTTATCACGACGTATTGTTCCTGAAGCAATTAATTTCTTATTTACGACACTTGTATATCTATCACCAAACAACACATTCAAAGATACATCATTAATTCCCGGAACATTCCCATTTCCCAATGATATCGATTCTATACCTTCCATACTTCAAATAAAGTGTGGGAAAAAAATTGATGCTCAATTGTTAAAATTTTCCGAAATATTAAACGGGAAAGTTGATAATTTAGATAACGACAATTTTAGGTAATATATATATTTTTATTTATTTATTTATTTATTTCCATTCTCAAACCATGAACGTAAAATTTTATTAAAGGTTTCTTATTATCTCTTTTATTATTATTTTTTTTATAGAATATCTGTATTATCAGCTACTCTACACATTATTGAATTATACGCAACATTATATAATTCTACTCCTGCTTTTATAGAATTATTCAATCCTGTATTGAAATTGTTATCTAATTATCCATTAGATAAATTTTCAGAAACAACTAAGGTATATTTTACATTATCAATTTTTGTGGAATTTTCTATTTAAGAAAAAAATATATTTTTGATTTTTTTTTTTTTTAGAATAAAATAAATGCTACCCAAGAAGTTTTGCGAAGACTTCAAAAGTTTTCTAAACAAAATAGAAAACCACTTGAATTGCAGCATCATAAACCAATTCCTATTCCCACGTACATTCCCAAATTCCAAGAAAAGTATAGTATCATTTATTATTTTCTCCAACTTAATTTAACATTTATTTCTATAATGTATTTAACCAAATCTTTTGTAAACTCCACTACTTATACAGCTTTTCTATTCATCACGACCCGGATAAAGAAAGTAGAAAGATAAATAAACTTAAATCACAGTATAAGAAAGAATATAAAGGAGCAATAAGAGAATTACGTAAAGACAATCGATTTATCGCAAGGCAGCATATCAATGTAGTTAAAGAAAAAGATGCTATTTATAAAAAGAAAATCAATTTTATTATGGGAAAACTTGAAAATGAACAGGGTGAAAAGAAGGCTTATGAAAAAGCTAAAAAATATGGTAAATTATAAATAAATAGCCCATAGGAAAATATTTATTAAATGAGAGGAAATAAAATTGTCTAGATACAAGTTATAAATATATTTCGCCATCTTAAGTTCATCATCTTAAAAGAATTTCCAATTTTTACAATCTTCACAATTTTCTTCTTTAAAACATTCAGCAACTTCTTCTTCACCTTTGGTTATTTTATCCCATTTATCAATAACTTTTTCGATAAAAAGTTCTAGTCCATGCTTAAGTATATTCGAATTCCAACCTAATTTTGATTTTGTATCATATAAACATGAAAAACCAACATGACATTTAGTTTCCATCTTGTAATTAAAAAATAAAATTTTATTTATTTTTTGGTTAGCATATATGTCATATTTAAAATTAGATATTATTCTAAAAAAAAAAATTTACTTACAGCATAACCCCAATGATAACAAGTACTTGTTACGCCATTACATGCACCCATAAATATAGGGTCGGCAGTATGACCAAAATGATAGATGTTAGGGTTTTGAGTCGTATTTAATCCTAATCTTTTTGCATATAATAATTCTCCCGGTGCTTGAAATGCAAATGCCGGCAAATTATATTTGATCGCTAATAACGACGCTAATGATCCACCTAATAAGATAGGAAGAGAATATAAAGTTTTGAGATAAGGTTTTGAATTAAAATTGTTAGGTTACTCACCTAATGAATGACCTGTTAACCAAATTGTGGCATTTGGAAAATCTTCTTTAACTTTTTTAAATATTTCCTAAATCATTATAACATCTATTATTACACATTAAATAAATAAATAAATATAATAACAATGAAATTATATACCAAAGCAGTATTATAATAAGAATCTTTAATATTAGTTTCTTCACTCAAACACTTATTTTCACAATTCCAACCACCTTTATAACATCCACATACACCTTTCCATGTTCTATCAACTTTTGCACAACAGCAAGAAAACATTAAATTATCCTATATGTGATTATATTATAAACAAAAAAAAAAGAAAGAGGATTTTAATGTTAAAGTTGATCAAAGTTGAATGAATTATTTTGTTACATCATCAACTTACATTAAGTTTGTCATGTTTTTCAAGTGGTTTACCAGCATGTGGTATATCAATATAAGCTGGGTCCGTTCCTTTTATAGCAACAATAACAGTTGTATTTTCCCTATCAGAAAAAACATAACCTCTAATACCATTTCCTTCCCATCCAAATGGTAATTCCTAAATTTGTTAAAAAAAAAGAAAAATTAATATCAAGTTAAATTCTCTCGTTAAAAGAAATTACTTACATTCCATTCACCTTCTAAATCAACCCATTTATATTTTAATGATTCTAATGATTCTAATTCAATGTAAGCATCATAAGACATTTTAGCCATAGACAAAACAGTCTTCTTTTCTTTATGAGGTACTTCCTTCCTATCAAGCTTATCATTTAAACAATTTATAGGCTTCTCATTTTCCTTTGAGTTATCAATAAATATACTATTGATTACATGTTCATCAAAAATTGCAGTGGTGGTGTGAAGTTCTTTTTCGATATCTTTAATGATTAACTTCCTAAAAAGTTGAATTGTGGAAGGAGTTACACCATGATGATATATTTGCTTTAATTTAAGTGTTTTTGTGTTCGTTTTGATGTGGTGTTGAGGAATGTCGAGAATTCTTTGTTGTTCGATATTATTATTATTAGATGCGAAAGGAATTTGCCGAGGAAATGTTGCAAAAGAAAAGATGATATATTGTGAAAGTATAAGAAAAACTTTAAATAATAATGTTCCACGCATTTTATAAAGTTTAGTGTTTTAAAGAAGAAACATTTTAAAAAAGAACTAAATAAAGCAGTATTTATCTGAATTTAATAAAAGCATTTTCTGTGTTCCCAACCCTGCATAAAAGATTTGTAGATTTGATGAAATTTTTTGAAATTTTTAATTTTTTAATTTTTTTAAATAAAATGTCAAATCAAACAAAATCAAGTTTAACGAGTGGTCCAACAAAAAAAACTTCATACAAAGCCCCACTTCCATTATCACTCTCTCCTTCCTTCTTGTCTCGTCTTATCTCTTTTCTCTTCCCTTTCTCTTCTCCTACGACCAGGAGAATTAAAGGTAAGTTTGATGAAAAATCTCAAGCTGTTATAATATCTAACAGAGAAGACATGGAACAATTATGGAAAGAAGGATTCTTTGGTAAAGGTAGTTTAAGTCGGAGTGAGCCTACCTGGTTTTGGAGAAATAATAATGGGGAGAAAGGAAAGGGTAAACAAAAGTTATCAGCTGAACAAGTAACGGAACAACGTAGAATCGCTAGGAAACGAAACAAGGAATCTCGTGCTAAACAGGCTCAGAATGTGGAAGTTGTTCAACAGGAAATAATTATCAAGGAAGATGTCAAAGTTATCAATATTGAATCAGTAAATACTCAAAAACAAACCATAGAAGAATTAACGCAAGAGGATGAGACGGTTTTATCAGAGGACATAGAGAACTTGATATTAACAACGCAAGAAGCATTCTTTTTATGTTATGGTTTAGGAATAATCGATATATACGATTCACGAGATGTAAAGATTATAAATATATATTATTATTTTTTTATTTCTTTCCTTCATCGTTAATATTTAACTTGTATATTAACAATAGAATTTATTGAGCTTAGAAGAATGTTGGAAATCATTTCATACTGCACCAAATATGAACCTAAATCAAGATGATTATGAAAATTCGTTTATCATAAGATACGTCGTATATCATTATTTTCGTAGTTTAGGATGGGTTGTTAGATGTGGTATGAAATTTGGTGTAGATTATGTATTATATGAAAAGGGGCCCGTGTTTAAACATTCCGAGTAAGTGATAAAATTGATTCACAACAAATCACGAAGGAAAGTGACAAATGATACTATTAAAATTTCTTATTAGATATGCTGTGATAATATTACCAATTCATTCATCCCAAGATTCATCACAGTCCTTACATTCCTGCGATAATTTATTAATAGATTATCGAAGTAATTGTATGACATCTTGGAGCTGGATGATGAATTTAAATAGAGTTTGCGTACAAGTAAAGAAGGTAAAAACTTCTTAATTAATTAATCTTTTCTATGTATTTTAAAAATTTACTTATGTTTATAATATTTTAGTCATTAATCTTATGCTATGTAATCATCCCACCATCATCCATGAACAATGCCACGATTACAGAATGTATAAAGAAATATGATATTCAACAAGTATTAATTAAAAGATGCATTCCATCAAAATTTAAATGAATCAAAAAAAAAAAAAAAGAACCATTTAAGTAACCACCTTCTCTTCTTTCATGTTAGCAAGTAATTCTTCTAAAGCCCCTTCATTCCAAATGTCATAAAAAACAAACAAGTCATAAGTTTCTTTTAATTGTCGTAGTTCTTCAAGATCTTCGGAAGTTGGCCAGTAAAATTCACCATGTAATTTATCATAATAATAAATATTTTGAGCACATTTTTCGTCCATATGAGTTTTTATACCAATATGTGATAATTCATGATCGCAAGATCTATTATCATTTATAATTAAAAAAGTGAGTATCGCTTGATCTTGTCTGTGATTTGCTCTACTACTACCTTTTGGTGCTATACAATTTTTTACTAAAGCGCACTCATTCCATTTATCTATTAAATATTGCGTCTTGTTCGTATCAAACACTATCGCAGCTCCGTTACAATTAACATAATGTTTACCCCTATACATAGAAGTACTTTGATTGAAATATTTAAACACTCCAGGATGTGTCCATTTTAAAAAACTTCCACTTGATTTTGGACTTAGAAATCCGTTATTTTGTTCGAGTAAAATTTCCAAATTAATATAAAATTCTGAAGTGATAAAGCTACCGCTATCTAACCAAATTATTATTCCAGGATATTTCATCGAGACTTCTTTAATTATGCCAGATTTCCATGCGTACTCCCCTCTATTGTAATCAATATTCCAAAATTTTGGATATTTTTTATAATCAAATTTAATTAATTTATCAAAATATTTTCCTTTCTTTTTTAATAATCTTAACACTTTCTTTTGATATTTCGCTAATCCTAAGTCATAAACTATTATCCTTGGTTTTTGTTCTTCCGAAAGATCTTTTAATGTATCTGATATTTTATATAACCAACTTTGTAACGCGCAAAAATGATTATCACTTGCCGCTGTTACTATTGTATATGGGTATGTTCTATTATGTACTTTTTCATTTGTTATCACTATAAAAGAGGAACAAGGCAATTATTACAAATAAAAAATAAAAATATAAAAATAATATATATTGTAAAACCTTCATGCTTACCAGTTCCATAATTCGGTATAATTTGATCACTAAATTTCATCAGTAAAAGCGAGAATATGATGAAAACCAAAACTACTTTTATTGTTTTTATCGTTTTAATCCCCAAACTATTCATCTTTAAAAAAATAAAAAAAAAAAAAATTTTGAAGATATTTGGAATAAAATGTCAAATGAAAAAAAAGTGAGGGGGTTTTTTTTTTAAAAGTTTTTTTGGTTTTTATATATATCATTAATTGTCGATCATTGATTACAATAATTTATATAATTTATTAAATGCAATTAATATTTTTCCGACGCATATCTCGAATCATTGATTCATTCTTGTGTGCGCAGAATTAAAAAGATATTTTTAGGATTTAAATATATATAAACCTTACCCATCTCTACAAATTGTAAATTGTTGAAATATGCAATATATTTAAATACATAGCTTTAACATTTTTTGATTTGAATATTGGTATCCTTCGAATCGAAATATGACAAATATTGATAAATATTGATACAGACCTGTCTAAGGATTACCCCTTTTGATTTTTTTAAAATACGAACCTATATATAATCACCTGTAGTATTGTTTTTTAAATTGATGATACCAATTGGTAATAAACATTTGGAAGATAATCTCAAAGTCGAAAGATTTTCTTTACAAGGCATTGATCTTATATAAATTATAAT